TAATTTCTGGACAGTCATGAAACTTAAACCAGCCGAATTTCTGGTTTCAGGCTGATAGGCATACTATTATACCCAGCACAGTCTTTAAAATAGCATCCAGTGGACAGACAATAATCTTTCAAACACACCTCCAATTACCAGACTGTTGTTGGGCTAATGTTACATAACAACCAACCTAATCTCACTTTCTCACACACTCAGGTGTTAGCAGTCTTTCCCGTCGACTTGTACATGGCATTGTATTGGTAACATAAGGTACAGTCTAGTGCCTGGGTTTCCACACCACTCAGCAATGAGCCACCAAATCCCAGATTACATTCAAATCCATAGCCTACCTGGAAGAATGAGTGGTTGTAATAGCTGACATAATCTAATTACAGCTGCTACACTCAGTGACTGAAGGGAAAACAGTTCTTACTGTTATCAACAAGTGTTGCTTGTTTCAATTTATCTAATGCCAGAAAATGCTGCAGCTAAACACAAGATGAGAGCCTAAAGGGTTACATATATTGTCCTGCCTAACATCTGATAAACAAAGTAAAACCATAACACCAGTCAAATACACATTCAGACAGCAGTGGTGGAGGCTGGCAATTTTCATAGGAGTGGCCAAGCTGGGGCCATTACTTACACTGGGCAGGGAAAGAAACTGACATGTCCTTTTCTTCTTCTTTTTGTTTTTTCGTTGCTGCGTGGCATGTTGCTGTGGGCTAAATACTCTGCTAAAACATTAAGGCCACATCAGCTGCTTTGGTGCAGATAAAGGTGACAACAGGTCCACTGGAGAGGCAACAACAGGACAACCCTCCAACCCTTTAATAACTGAGTGTGAGCAGTAGTAGACTTTTTGACTTCTCACTGGTTTCATTTGCATACTGAGGCCTGGCTGCCATGTAGAATTATTCCATGTAGACTCATAGATTAATATCCTTTTTGTTGCTGTGTTTATACATCCCCAACCAAATGATAGGCAAACACTCAAGTTTTATTCTCTTTTAATTGTTCAGTACAATTTCAATGGTTTGTTGGACTGTTACATAAATTGAACAACAGCAGA